ACAGTGCCATGTATGTAGCAAGTGTCGTTTATAGGGATGGGCAGGAACAGGGTAAATGCAGTGCCCTGTTTGTGAACCACAGACCGGCACAAATTTTTAGTTGCCTCACAAACTGAACCAGGATTGAGGTGGTACAACACTCCCCCCCCCACCCATGTGCTAGAGATGCAGGCAGTCATTTCCGCAGAAAGCACTTTCCTGGGGGCACCTTCTTTGGGGGGCTGTAACTCGAACCCTGTATATCCAATCCTCACCGAAATTGGAGGGCATATAGAGGAGAGTCAGTGAGTTTGGTGTCTCTAGCTTATGCAGGATCCTTTCTATACATCGTGTTCTGAACCTCCTGAACCTGTGCCTGTCAAAATGACTGCCTGTAATTGACAGGTGGTCATTTTGACAGGTGCAAGTTCAAGAGTGTATAGAATGGATCTGGTGCAAGCTAGGGACACCATAGTAACAGGGGCCCTCCCCGGATGCTCCATGACAAGCTCTCCAGGTTGTTGCTTTGAAGTTCTGTAAACATTCTGATTGAGCGGAGGCAGTCTGTCTGAAAACGTCTCAGCTCATGAACCGGCAGGAACATCCACAAACTTTGACTTTGCGAAGCATGAACTGGCCAAAAGTCTTCACAAGCTTTAGTTTGTGAGCGAGTTTGTGCCCATCCCTAGTTGATTATGATGGTTTTAAGCAAGGAATTAGAGCAGATCCTCCATGATAGCCTTACATCAATCCTGCGAGTCAGATTAGATTGCAAAAGATTAGATTGCAAAATGTAATTTTAATATTTTGTATTTTTTCTTTAATTAATTAATTGTGTGCCGTCAAGTTGTTACTGACTCATGATGACCCCAGGGCCACGGGGTTTTTAAGGCAAGGGATGAGCAGAGGTGATTTGCTATTGCCTTCTTCATAGCAATCACAGCCTTCCTTCGTGGTCTCCCATCCAAGTAATGACCATGGCCAACCTGGCTTAGTTTCCAAGTTCTGACAAGATTGGACTAGTCAGGTTGCTCGAGCCATCAAGTTGTAGCCAACGTATGGCAACTCCCATCGGTTTTTCAAGGCAAGAGACAAGCAGAGGTGGTTTGCCATAGCCTGCCTCTGCACAGCAACCCTCGACTTTTTCGGTGGTTTCCCATTCAAGGACTAACCAGTGCTGACTCCGCTTAGCTTCTGAGGTCTGATGAGATCAGGCTACCATGGGCCTTCCAGATCAGCTCTCACCTTATTTTTCAGAAGTCCCACCTGTCTTGGACTACCTTTCCTGATAGATTATTTAGCCACTGGATCCATTTTAGCATTTCTCTAAGTGGATTAAAATCAGTCTTCCTGATGTTCGTGGTGGTAGTTTGTCTTCGCTCACATTCACATTTGCCCCTGTGGTCACTTTCTACTACTTTCACCTCATCAATCCAATCTTTGCTATTGGTTAGTATCAATGCAAGAATATCTTATTCCCTCATTCCCCACCTGCTGAAAGAAGTTGTCAGCAATGCATGGCAAGAACTTATTAGACATTCCATGCTCAGCAGAGGTGCTTTCCCAATAGTTACTATGGTAGCTGAAGCATTGAATTGTGATGAATTATTGCTTCCATGAAACTAATTTGTTTCAGGAAAGCATCATCCATTTTTAACTTCTGAGAAAACAGGAGTTTACAAGATCAGCTGAAGTGATGCAGTGTATGATTCTCATATCCATCGATCCCCTTCTCAGAAAAGCTCTGGATGATATACATGGGTCTTCCTTCATCCTTTTTATCCTCTCAGCAACCCTGTGAGGTAGGCTAGGCTGAGCAAGAGTAGCTAGCCCAAGATCACCCAGTAAATTCCACAGCAGAGTGGAAATTTGAATCTGGATCTCCCGGATACTACTCCAACATCCTTAAGTGCTATACGAACATACTTTGCCCTCTATCTCCTTCCTCCTTACTGAGGGGTAATCTGTGATCAGATAGCTTTCATTACTGCCACCCACAGAATACAGCCTGTGAACTAGCTTTCTGCCCTCTTATCTTGTGACTTGTTGGTAGCCAGTCCCAAACAGAGAGATGATGGTTGCCCTTGGCGCCCCACGTGTAGGCACTGTGGATAATGAATCTTATTTGACAAAGTGACTCCTATACAGAAATTCCAGGTTCCTCACAAGTAGCAATTAATAAAGTTTTTCCCAGAGAACAATATTTCACCATTCATGTATCTATTTGTTGCTTAGAATGGGTGTCCTTGGCCCCTATTCCCGCAGTCATCTTTAAGACACTTTGCAAATCCTAGCTCAGTGAAGCCTGCACGTCTTCCTATCCACCTTGGCATGCTTTTCCATGAGAAAAAAACCCTTGGTTGTTTAATAATATAACAGTATGTTACACTATCGGTGCTGAAAGAAGTTTTGGAACTTCACAGGAGTGTGGGGGATGAGAAAAAGAAAATAATAAAAGAAATAAAAATGGGTAAACATGAAGTGCTAATGTTGAACATTTTTCTTCTTTCTCTAACAAGGAACCATGCAGAAGAAGAGCATCTTCAATCAAAAGAGGAAACTGAACACAGTTCTGCTTACTTCCCTTCTACTCCTCCTCTGCTTAGAATGGGTGTCCTTGGCCCCTATTCCCGCAGTCATCTTTAAGACACTTTGCAAATCCTAGCTCAGTGAAGCCTGCACGTCTTCCTATCCACCTTGGCATGCTTTTCCATGAGAAAAAAACCCTTGGTTGTTTAATAATATAACAGTATGTTACACTATCAGTGCTGAAAGAAGTTTTGGAACTTCACAGGAGTGTGGGGGATGAGAAAAAGAAAATAATAAAAGAAATAAAAATGGGTAAACCTGAACAAGAAGTGCTAATGTGGAACATTTTTCTTCTTTCTCTAACAAGGAACCATGCAGAAGAAGAGCATCTTCATCAATCAAAAGAGGAAACTGAACACATTTCTGCTTACTTCCCTTCTACTCCTCCTCCTTGGGCCCTGATTTCATGGGTGGTGGTGGTTCTGTGTGGCTGTTGGGCACTGCCTCCCTTGAAGGCAGGACTCTGGTATACTCAGAGGGGATGTGTGTGCATGTTTTGGCCCCACACAGAGCTTTGCATGTCCTGCTGTGACCCAAGAAGTTTCCTGTCAGTTAGGTTGCCAGTCTAGTGGATACTTACTGGGGTGATTTGCCAATATGATGGGCTGGTGAATGGGGAGGTTTTGGAGTTTGCGTGTGATGGTGCGTATACACTGCAGCCGCTGCAGTAGAAGGTAGTTTTACTCTTCCAGGGCATTTGTAAGTGACGGTGCTCGAAGACAATGTTAGATGTCTGCATTGGTCCACAAAGTAATACTGGCCTCTGCAGACTCCTGAGCTGCTGTTCTGGGCCTGGTCATATGCTCATTGTGCTGCATTTAGGTCTTGGCAGGTCCCTGGATGTTTCAGCCACCATGTTCTTGGTGCAAATCTGTCTGCTCAAAAGCTTGCAGCTGCGGACAGCTGCTGCCTTCTGGGTTTAGTGGCCTTTGCAAGGTCCTGTGAAGTAGGCTGTCCGGCAGTGGTGTAGTGGTTAAGTGCGCGGACTCTAATCTGGGAGAACCGGGTTTGATTCCCCACTCCTCCACTTGCACCTGACTGGATGACCTTGGGCAAGCCATAGTTCTGATAAAAGCTGTTCTTGAAAAAAGAGCAGTTTCTGTCAGAGCTCTCTCAGCCCCACCTACCTCACAGGGGAGGGGAAGGGAAAGGAGTTTGTAAGCCGCTCTGAGACACCTTTGGGTAGTGAAGGGCGGGGTATAAATCCAATATCTTCTTCTCTTCTTCTTCTTCTCTTTGGTTCTCCTGTAGCTGGGTCCTGGATCGCACCACTTGTATCTGCTCCTCCTTCTTCCATCTCTTCCCAGGCAGGCAGTTCTCCCCTGGAAACCTGGAAGGAAGGGACAGAAATTGATGTGCATATGTTTGAGCACTGGCAGGGGGGGGAGTCTTATCCATAACAGCAAATGACATAGCTTTGTCAACATTGTCGCTGGGGTGATGATACAGAGGTGACATTTTTAGTAGTGAGGTCAATACATTTAGTTGGTAGCATTGAGAAAAGTGACCAGCATTTGGACATTATGACCAGTGGACAGCACTCAGACATCACAATGTATGTGTTGTCTGAATGTAGCCACTATTTGCTCGAGAGGGAAAATAGGCTGCTCTTGCAGAAGCAAATGTAAAATCTTTCCCTCAGTTGTTCTCAGATCAGAGTTCTGTTTGGGGGAAGACTTGAAACTGGCCTGTTTCCATGGAACTGTTCTTCCAGCCTTGGCAATTCTGATGACTCTTGCACAGTACATTCGAGTTCTTGTGTAAAGATGCTGGTCAGCAGGACGCATCGCTCAACATCATTCTTGCTCAGGGAAATGCTCTTTATATTGTGTGTGAATGATTGTTCTTTGAGTTGGTTGTTTCCTGGGAGACTTCACTACCTGACTCACCTGAGAACTGACTTGTGTGCTCCAAATCAAGATACTGTACGAGCCTGTGTGTGAAGAACTCTGTGTTGTTTTCCCCTGCCATGTAACACTTTTGAATAAAGCTGAGTAAAACTGTATCTGGATTACTAAGTGTGATTGTCTGCTTATATACCCTTCCAAAAGCAAAAAGGCAGCATGAGGGTTTTCTCCCACTGGCATTCAAGTACTTCAGTGTTTGTATGTGTGTGGGGTGGGGTGGGGTGGGTGGTTCCAAAGCGAATGGACGTTGGACAAAGTGTAAACATTAAACTGCATTTTACTCTAGCTAGCCAAATATATCCCCCGCAAAATATATGCAGAAGGCATTTGAGATAATTATTACTTTGGCGTTGAATGCAGGGATATCCTGTAGCATCCTGGAATGCAGAAAAGTCAGTAAAAAGTATCTGTGTTGAAAACTGCATTGCACAGGTCTTTCGGTGTACTTTTTGAAACAAGAGGTAGCATACAGGATTTGAGCTGTCAGGAATACTAATGTTACTGTGCTTTTTAATTTTTTTTTAGGACTTCTTTTTTTATTCGCTAGTGTATGATCCACAGCAGAAGACTCTTCTAGCTGATAAAGGAGAGATCAGAGTTGGGAACAAGTACCAGGCTGACATAGTAGATTTACTGAAAGAAGGTAACTTCACCTCTCATTTCTGCATAAATCCATAAAGAAATGATATCATGGAAAAGTGCTCATAGCTATATATTTTGAGAATCTGCCACCTGTGGACTGCCTCCAGTAAAAGGTCGTGCTAAAGAAGCATTGTCTACACTTTCATGACGTCAGTAACAGGGCTTCATCGATCCTTTGAAAAGTTCTATACTGATAAGAAAACCAGTACGAAGTTCTAATGTTTAAAAAATAATACCAGTACAAGAAACATGCCAAACTCAAGTCCCACTTTATACTCAGTTAAATTGGTAAAAATGCAGACCACGGGAGATATCTAAAAGAATCTTCATACACTTCCTATATATTAATCATGACTGCTTTTCTTGGGGTGGGAGTTGATTTATTCATTGATACCCCTGTCCTTCTCCTCAGTGGGAACCCAAATTCCCTTCTACATTTTATCCTCACAACAACCCTGTGAGGATGGTTAGGTTGAGCAGGTGTGACTGGACCAAGATCAACCAAGGAAGCTTCCATGGCAAAGTGGGGATTCAAACCTGGATCTCTCAGGTCCTAGTCCGGCACTCATATCACTACACCAGAAATGGGGCTGCAACGAAAAAGGCCCTGTTCCTTCAGAAAGTGATTGAAGAGTAGGAACTTCCCACCCAGTTCCAGTTGATAGGGGCTGCTATATGGAAATGTGCATCCTGAAATAGGCTGGTAGGTGAATCAAAGATTAGAAGCCTTGAGCCTGAAGCTAACCAGCTGTCTGTGCAGGTCACGTTAAGATGAATGTTCAGCCATCAAGTTACCTTCTGCAAGAAGGCAGTTGCTGCACTCTTCAGTGACAATTCCCAAATAATTCTTATCACACAGTATATATTGTAGTGGCCAAACCTAAAAGTGACAGCTAGTGTGGCAGAAATGTTAGGCTTGTTACAGGTTCTAAGACCGGCCCCGGTCATGAACTGCCCCGGTCATGTAGATAGGGGCTTTGGGGTCTGATTTTGATAGCGAAAGAGGTCATGACTGAGGGACCCATGGGCTGTACTTCCCTGCAGTTTCTTTTGCCAGACTGCTTTTAATCCTCAGTTGAGCTCAAGTGTACCTGACTGGGTAGAGGAGAAGGTAAGCAATCTTGCAATGATTAATTAACCTCATTTGTATCCCACTTTTCGCCCCAGTGGTCACCCAGAGCAGCGTACATAGTCCCCCCCTTTTATCCTCACAACAGTCCTGTGAGGTAGGTTAGGTCAAATGTGTATGACAGCCCCAAGGTTACTCAGCAAGCTTTCATGGTAGCATGGGGATTCAATCTTGGGTCTCCCAGATCCTAGTACAACCCTCTAGCCACTATACCACACTGGCTCATGTAATGGTGCTAGCGCCCAGTGCTATGAATATCCCCACTGATCGACTATCGTCTCCTCTCTCAGCCAGTTCCGTAACGATGTGTAATATCCCTAGTTTCTTCAGGTGGGTGGTTTAAACCAGTTCAACATGGAGTTTTATCCCTTTAGATGTTTAAAGCATTTGTCAGATTGGATAAGCAAAGGCTGATTCACTGCTTTATTAGCTAAACATTTATAACATTCACTCACTTCTATAAATGCATGCAACATTTCAGCCTTTCCATAACTATATACAACCGTGAAGTGGCTTTAAGCCCACTGGGTTTGGTTTAGCTTCACCAGCCCACAGCACCCAATTGTCCAGCTTTGTCTCAAATGTCCTCTTCCTCTTTGTCTCACAACAGTTTTAGTGCTGGACCCTTAGCTCTTTGGGTTGTCTCTCTCAATTCCATATACAAATTGGAGCTATTTCTGAACTCGCCTTTCTGCTGTTCCTTCCTTCACCGGCTCTGTCTTGCTTCTTCACCAATCCCTTTTCTAATTGTTAGATTAGGTAGAGGCACTAAATTTGCAGCATTGCTGCTAGTGCCTCTCCTCAGCCCCCCCCCTTTTGAAAAGATTGGACCCGGGGTCCAATTCTATGGGCCCCTGAAGAAGGTGCCCCCATTTCCCATTGTTTCCAATGGAGGGGGGAAAGTGTTTAAAGGGACTGCGGTCCCTTTAGATGCCTTTGCCAAGCCGTTACTCCATGAGTGAACTCTGAATTCATCTCTTTAAACACCTCTCCAAGCACTGAGTTAACCTGGAAGGCATTTAAAGGGACTGCAATTCCTTTAAATGCCCTTTAACTTAGGCTATCCAGCAGTCCTGAAAATCCAGAATATTTTTTCAGCTTGGTTTGTGCTGAATGTATACCCCTAAACACTAATTGTTCCTGTAGCCCTAAAATCATTGTAAATTTTGATTAAATTGGTTGTAAGGAAAAGAGGCTGGTAGATAATGTAGCACTGAAGGTATTTTCTGTGGAATCCTTAGTGTGACCTTAAAGGGTTAGGAGAAGGATTGTAAAGAGGACAAAGGAGATGGCAACTCCTAACACTTAAGCAATGTAAGAGTCACAAAAGGGAACAAAAAAAGGGTGCAAATGAAAATGTACAAGCCTGTTGTGAAGAAAATTGAAGTATCGGAGGGTCCAGAGAAAAGGATAAGAAAGACACACAGCAGCACTCTGACATAGGATGAAAGGAAAGTGAGGCAAAAAACTGAGACTGAAGTCTCTGAGGGTCCTGTGAGGTCACAGGGGCGGAAAGTGGATGGTCCAAAAAACTGATGCAAAATATTGTGGGTATTTAGGGCCATATTTATACCATATTTATACCCCCCCCCCTTGTGAAATTGTGGCCCTAGGTAGGTGAACCACTACTACACTAGTAGTAGTATACTGTAAACCGCTCTGAGACCCATTAGGGGTCATGGGCGGTATATAAGTCCAATGTAAATAAATAAATAAATAAATGCTGGAAACAGACTAGCCAGTGCACTCCAAAGCCAGGTCTGGATTGGTCAATTCAGATGTTAGCTGCTAGGTGGGAAAAAGTAGAATAGGAAAAATGGCACACACAAAAAAGGGATGAGTGACTGGAATGCCCCAGTCACCTGACTGGAGGGTGGACCAGACTGGAAGTTTGAAATAGCTGTGTCAGGGCTTATGATAATCCTTCCATGCATTAGGGCTCATTATCTGATTTAAATATTGATACATTGTTGGAGTTTTCAGTGGAAAAATGCCTAATTGCCTTCAAGTAGACCTTAGGATGCTTCCCTTTTGCCATTCTGGAGGTGCCTATGACCTAAGTGGAATTTTATTGGAAACCCATCTTAATTTTGCTATCATGCACCTTGGGGGAGTCTGAATTAGCGAATAAGCGTAGAGCTGAATTTTGAAGCTTCCTTTGCAGGGTCTCTCCATATCACTTTAGTCAGTTGTCATCAGTGTGGGACTTCTCACATGGGGTTCCACAGGGTGCATTCTTATCCCAGTTACTCTACAATCTCTGTGTAAAGTCCTTAAGAGAAATCATTTTTTAATTTTTGAAATTGGGTGAAATCCATATGCAGATGACACCCAGCTCCGTACCTCACTGTCCAAATCTCCTAGTGATGCAGTAGAGGTCTTGAATGACTGCCTGACCACTGCAGTAAAATGGCTGAGAAAAGAAGCTGAAACTAAAACCAGATAACATGGACATCATGCTAGTTGGGAAGGCTGAGGCTTTGAAGGACATTGGACTTTCCTACCTTTGATGGAGTTCAGCTGACCCTTGCCAACTCAGTTTGAGAACCTAGGGGTTATAATGGATCCAGCATTACTGCTGGAGAAGCAAGTTAATACAGCTGCAAGAAATACTTTCTTCCAGCTTTGCCAGGCTTGGAAAATGGCCCACACTACCTTGACTCAGCTAATCTAGCCACCTGGGTCCATGCCACAGTGACATCCAGATTAAACTGTCGTAATGAACGCTACGTGATTTGCCCTTTGAGGTCACCCTGCAGACTCCAGTTAGCACAGAATGCTGCAGGTTGCTTATTATCAGGAACTCGATGGCCCATGCAAATTACATCCATTCTGCAGTCACTCCATTGGCTGCCCATCAGCTACCAGGTTGATTCCAAGGTACTATCATGTACAAAGCCCTGTCTGTCTCTCCTCCAATGTTCTGCCATGACAGCTTTGCTCATCTGTTCAGAGCCTTCTAAAGATGGCACCTTGCAAAAATGGGCAAGATCAACAACTGCCTGTACCTGTGCTTTCTCAGTTGTGGGGCCCACCTGGTAGAATTGCCTGCCTCAGGTGGTCTGGAAGGCTTCCAAACTCCTGTCATTCTCCAAATTACATAAAACAGAGTTGTTCAAGAGACCTTTACTATAATGGAATAGTTGAGGAAAGTGCTTTATGAAGGGA